TTTACCAGCAGCAGTTACTTTTACGCTTCGACAGGCGGACATCTTGGACGTTCCGAAATCTTACTGCGGCCGATAAAACACAGGGCGTGAACTTCACGGGTCGAACCTGACATGTCGCACTCGACAGCTACAGCAATATGGCGGAAGCGCGGAGCCACAAAGCAGAACAAGCGCAGTCAACACACACCGGAGAACGCGACCGAATTGACGATGACAACGTCAAGAGCAGCGGTTGAGGGCCGCGCGCTACTCTCGGACATGTTGCGCTGCGCTACTCTTTCTATGCTTGCACTGGCGTCGCAAGCGTCTCGTCGACATGTTTCACCTCCTCTGGGAGCTCCCCACAATCACAGCCGGCGAGCCACACGGACTCCACGCCGTGCATGGGGCAGATGTCGATGCGCTCAAGCAGAGCTTCAACTGGGCAGCCTCGTATCCCTCGACTGATACGCAATACTCAGCGCATACCGCGGCACAAGTGGTGCTCAACAAAGCCGCTACTCAGCGCGCTACCCGCTCTTCTCGGAGTAACGGACACAGGTACAGGTCCCCGATGCCAGGGCTTGCCCAGCACAGCAGAGGCAGGGCTGCGAACGGATGTTGAAGCAGACATGTATCGTTGCGGCTCACAGAGGCGGTGCTGCGAACGGAGGTGAGACTGCGGCCCAAGGTGAGAGTGCGGCAGCCAAAGGAGCGGCTCTGCGAGGCGAAACAAACGGGGCAGACATGTCTCGTTGCGGGGCTGAGAACAGAGGCGGAGCTGCGGCACACAGAGGTGAAGCCGCGGCAGCCGAAGGCGCGGCTGCGTGACGCACCTTGGATCTTGAGGACGGTGCGTTGTTGGTACCGAGCAGCAGGGCGAGGGAAGCATCTAGCATGCCGTCGCCTCGCCCGCTGACGACCGGGTTTGCCTCGGACTGTGCTTGTTTCTGTCCGTTTAGGGTCTTTGTGTTTTTTGGGGTGGGTCTTCGTGCTCCGGGTTGGTGTGCACGGTCCGTGCGGAGAGCCTGTCCGCTGTCGTCATTGTTGTTCCGTGTCTTAGTGTAGCAGAAGTTCGGTCGCACTTTCACGCCGAGGGGCTAGCGAGCCCCATCCCGCTCGAGGTGGATATCCTTTGGCCGCGTTGGGTAGCGAGGATTGGTGTGACGCGATCCACGCAGGCGTGTTTTCTGGCGGCCGACCGTCAGTGCACGGAGTTGCCCCTTCTCCGACTGCCCCGGCTAGTTCACGAGTTTCGCGGGAGTGACCCCATGCGTCAAACCCGAGACCTAGCGCGGGTGGGTTGGAGGGGGCTCGCCCCGCTCCTCCCCATCGGGCCGCATGAGCGGCCACGCCTCGCAGATTCGTTTTCGCGCCTGGGTCAGGCGCGCGGGGCATCCCCCGGGTCGCTCGACCAGCGATCCGAAGAGTGGCCGCTATGCGAAGGCACGACTCGCACCGACCCTTCTATACGAAGGCACAGTAATCCGGGCACGTGTTGGGCGCCCCGTTCCGTCTGGGGCTAGGTCGGCTCAGGGCCCCATCCACTTCCCTCCCGCTTGGCGCGTGATGATGAGGAGTTGCCACCCAGGCCAGCCAAGGCAGGGGCGGAGGGCGAGGGCGGAGGGCGGGATGGGCGCCAAGCGGGAGGGAGCGGACGGGGAGGGGCGCACAGATGGGGGATGGCGAGGGCGGAGGGGCGGGAAGGGGGGAGGGCGGCGGGAGGACGGAAGTCGGCATGGGCGGGCGGTGGGTGGTTCGGTAGGGCGGGGGGGAGGGCGAGGGGTGGAGTAGGGGGGCGGTGGGGGCGAGGGGCGAGGAGGTGATCGATACCCGAATCGCAAAAAGATGAGCAATACACCAGGGTCCAGGCAGGAACGGCCGGGGCGCAGGGCAACCTACCTCCCATTTCCGCCTAACAAAACGACTCTCTCTCGCCGCCCTGTCCGGCGCCACTCCATGGATGTGGCTTCATGCTCCAGGCTCCAGATGCGTCGGTGGAAAGAAGAAAGGGAAAAAGAGAAATGCTCAAACCAGCTGAAGCCTGCAAGTCTCCAGCCTGGTTTGCCAGGAGCTTTGAGCGGCACAATGGAGCAGCTTCGTGTGACGACCGCCGCCGCGAGCGAGGGTGGTGGCGAGAGGCACGCCGGGATCTCGCCGCTCGCAACGAGTCCCACCCGCTGGTGGCTCGCACAGCTCGCCGTGTGGTCCATTAGCATCGTGCCCGCGCTGGTATGGCCGACCTGGCTCGCTGTCTTCGGCACCGGCTGGCTGCAGACCGTCCTTCTCTGCCTGGTGCTGCTCGTGCGCCGATCGCAGCGCGAGCCTGCGAATCCTCTCCACACCGTGCGCGTTGCGGCGGATGCGCCGGCCGCGCCGCCGCCAAAGCGGCTGCGCCTCTCGCTGGCGCGGCGAGCCATTGCATCCTCTCGCGTGCGCATCATCGTCGTCTCGCGGCTGAAAAGGGCCATCGCGCTGCGTGGAGCCGAGGCCGTGCTGGCGGAGCTCTTCTGCGGAGCTCGGCCGCCAGGGAGGCGGGAGCCGCCGCTCATCGAGTCGGCGCCCCCGGCGAGGGCCTACTTTGCCCTGGTCTCGTACCGGCAGGAGCGGCTCGAAGGCGACGACAGCGGGACAACGATGGACGCCGCGGCGCTCGCCTCGATCGCCGACGTGGCGCACGCGGCGGGGCTGGAGGGAATATGGCTCGACGCGTGCTGCTTCGCGGCGGTGCAAAACAAGTACGACCACGACTCCTTTGTCGCCACCCTCGCTGCCGTCACGCAGCACGCGAGCGAGGTGATCTGGCTCCCGCGCGCGCGCACCGCCTCCAAGGCGTCCTCGTACCAGTTCCGGCTCTGGTGCACCTTCGAGGCGGCGACCGTGGCGGAGCGAGGGCTGCCGGTGCGGGTCGCGGGGGTGGGCCTCTCGCAGTCGCAGCTCCTCCTCCACCGCTTCGGCACCTGGACGCCCCTCTGGCCCGGCTGCGAGATGGGCGAGGTCCGCAAGCTGCAGACCTGCCACTCGATCCTCCTCGTCCTCTTCTTCCTCTCGCCGCTCGTCGTGGTGCAGCCGCCCCGCACGCCCAACCGACCCGGCCCACCCTCGTGATGACTCGCACCCGCCCTCAGGCGCCGCTGGTCTGGGTGCTCCGCGCCCCCGCCGCCCTCTCGCAGTGGGCGCCAAAGCTGTCCCACGAGTACTGGCTCTGCGAGTCGGGCCAGAGCGTGCTGCGGGTGAGGGAGGGCCCGGGCGGGGGGGGGGGGGTAATCATGCCGCAGCCTTGGACTGCGCCCTAGCCGCCAGCCCGCCCCTGTCTCCGCCCTCTGCCCAAGCCCTACGCCCTCTGCCCAAGCCCTACGCCCACCCCTCTCAACCAGTAAACCTCCCCCCTGCGGCAGGTCATGCTCCTTGCTGCCGAGGAGACGGCACACGGACGCCGCCACGGCCGGACTTCGGCGCGGAGTACGCTCACAGCCGGCACCTCCCTCGGCGGCGGGCAGACCTCCCTCTCGGAGCTGCGGTGCAGGGACTCGTCTTTGGGCACCGCCCACCGCCCGTCTCTGGTGGCGGAAGAGCACGGCGCAGAGGAGGCGGGGCTCGAGGAGGCGACCCTCGCCCGACCGCCTCTCACCCCACCACCTCGCCGCATCACGGCCCCCGCACATCACGGCCCCCGCACGCTGTCCCTCGCCACCTCACGCCGCACAACCTCACAACCTCACAACCTCGCCCCCTCGTGCCCCGAGGCGAGCCTCGAGCAACTCTGCGGAGGCGTCCGCGACTCGGCAGACAGCGAGGCCAAGCACTTCCACGCCGCAGTCAGCCAGCA